TTGATGACTTCTCCGAGTTTAAATATTAACTACAGAGTACAGATTTGATCCCATTTCTCTTACTCCAAAGTCCACACTCTTTCTAATACACAGCATTCCTGTGCTCAGCTGAGTTTTGGTGCTTTTATTCATCAAAAGATTAAATATTTTATTCTTTCCTTCTTTCATTCAACATCATAATAATGGATTTCATACTTGTGGTATGCCAGGGTCGGTGATATCTTGATGCTAAATACACAAATTAGACAAGATAGTTTCTGGCCCCAAAGCTTGTGTTTTGGTTGCTCAGCCGCAGCACTATCAATAGTGAGGACAGATAATTATTTGTGGCGGGTCTGTCCTGTGTGTTACAAGATGTTTAATGCACATCTGCCTCTACCCACTAGATGCCAGTAGTGCTCCCCAAGTTGCTTCAAACAAATTTATCTCTAGACATTGCCAAGCATCCTCTGAGGAATCAAGAGCATCCCAAGTTGAGAACCACTGATTTAGTGAGAAGGTCTTTAGTGAGTCAAAGATCTAATTATGGTGGCCAAGTGTCATGGGTGAGTAAAGTCTAAAGTGTGCCCAGCCATGTTGTGTAGGTGTCAAATTCACTTTAGTCTTCACACTGAACATCTGGATGTGCTGAGATGTGAGCTTTGGCTGATGCTTGGGCCAAGTTTTAGACAGAAATAAAGAGTCCTTTAGATGAAAGAGGAGATACAGGTTCTCCCAGGTAGAGGTCACAGCATGAGCAAACTCCTGAATGGCCAGAAACTTTGTGGGTTGAACATAACTGGAGTTCCATGGCTACTGAGAGATGAAGCAGTAGCTCAGGACAAGGACTCTATTTGCCAGGCCAGAACCTTAATTTTACCTTCTGCCCCTACTCCATCTATTTACAGATTTTCTAATTCATTGAAATTGTTTGTGCTTACAATTACTCTGGCTTTCTGAGGAAATCTGATGTCCGCTCCAAGAAGTGCTTTTCTCGCAAGATCTGCAGTACCCTCTGAGAACAAGTCCTGAATTGTGCACTGAGATCCATATGAAGAGGGGTAGAGATGGGTTTTTAATTTCAGGGTTGAACTTTGCCTTGCATTTGATTATCTTTTGGAGTCTTGAATTTCAGGGAATATAATTAACAAGTAAGATGATCATCCACTTTGCTGGAGGAAGAATTCTGTAAGCCTCTTAGGTGCGAGGGCTATGAGTAATTCGGAGCTGAAGCTTCTGAGTTGTGCCTGATGCATCTGGATTCTTAACACCATCTCAAGTGCCATCTGTGAACATGGCCAAAGTAATACAGAAGTATTGAAATGCCAAGGGAATGAATCCTAAATCCCAGCACAAATAGAACCAAGAGATTCTTCTCATTATCATTCTGATGTTCAACAATCATGCTGAAATTTCAAGTCAAGACATAGTGGTTGCCATTAATTTTGTCTTGCTTAGTTTATTTAGAAGTAAGCTTCTCATATGACTGTCTCCTAGTGAGGTGGAGCAGAGTGACAGGGTTGTGTGTTTTGAGACTAGGATCAAGAAGTACTGTCAAATGCTGTAATATATAAATCCCCAAAACTCATTTCAGTTCATGTTTTAAAAAAAAAAACGCACACAAAAATCTTTCTCTGTGGCTGAGGAAATTGCATCCACCCTTTTCACACATGTCATCAGCTTTCTACTGCTTCTGTGGGAAGAGGATTATTTACCAAGATAGTGATGACAGCCAGCATTTATTGACTGTATTTCAGATAGTAGGTGCAGCACTTTACACCAATTACCCCATTTACCCCTTAATCAGCTATATGCAGCCTGGGCAGAGGTCATCATTTTGGAACAAGAAAGCTGGGGACCAGAGAGCACATGTACCCTAGGTTACATGCTTTATCAATATGTCTCCACCTAGGCTACTTTTGCCCCTAAGCCCACTAGCTGAGTGATGAGATGAGCTTCCAGATGTGCCAAACCGGAAGTTGTACTGGGAGGGGGACAACACTGTATTTAAGTGTGTTAGGTAATGTGACAGAGGAAAACACAACCTATATTTGGAGCACAAGATGCGTACCTAACCTTCAAAAGGGAGCACTGAGCCATAGGTTTAAAGGTCAATAATGAGGTTGGCTGAGCAGGTAAGCGAGGGCATTGCATGCAGGACAGTGTGCAAGGCGTGCTTGCAGGTGGGCACAGGATTTGGCATAGATGGAAAGGGGGAGCCACTTCAAACTGAGGAACAGCAAGCCGGGGGACAGGGCCTAGGAAGGAAAAGGGCCTGAAAAGTGCTTGTTCCAAAGACCCATTAGCTTACTCACCTCTTGGACAGGATTGCCTCCAATGGTTTCAGTTGACTTCCTGTTATCCATACCTGTCAGCTTATGGTCCCTGATATTTTCTATGTCATTCTTGTCATGTACCTAATGCCGGTTGGAAAAGCAACTCCAAAATTTTTTATTTCAGCTCAGAAACGATGGAGCTGGTTCGGTACTGGTATCTCTCTAAATTTAGCCTGGGCTGGTTATTAATGGAGTTCTTCAATCAAACAGCTGCAAACAGTACCAGGTGAAAGAGAATGGGTCTGTAGGGAGTCAGGAATAACAACTGCTCATTGCTCATTCATATATTTATTCATTCATTTGTCCAGGTATTTCTTAGTGCCTTCTCGTTACCAGGCTGTGCACAAAAGCTTTATAGTTATGATGTGTAATGTTCCCCAGACTTCTAGGAAGCAGGTGTTGTTAGGCCCCCTTAACAGATGAGCACCTGGTACTTCGAAAGCACAGAGCAGCAGCTTGGCAGGGAGTGCATTCTCTCTTCGCCTCTGCAGATCCAACACAACCTCTGTACTGGTTGACACATGTGGCTACCATAAGCAGAGACGCTCTTCAGAAAATACAGAAATATTCCAGACCCATGCAGAACTGATTAGACCACCCATATCCATTCACCCTCTCCTTCTGCCCATGAGTCCTGAGTGCCCACTGTGTGCCTAGCAGGGCTGATGGAGAGTAAGCCATGGAATGGAGTCACAATCACTGATGTGCAAAAGAATGCAATGTGACTCTCTCTGGAAAGTACCACACCTATGCCCAGGTCAGGGGGCCGAAGCCGAAAAATAGTGGAAAGAAATTAATATTTATAGAGCACTTACTATGTTTCTGGTTGTATGCACAATCTTTGGCAAATGTCACCTCATAACAACCAGGTTGAAGCAGGTAGCACATATCCCTATATTACAAATGAGGCCACTGAGTCTCAAAAAGGTAACAGACTTGCTCAAGGTCAGCCACATGGGAAGGGAGCACATGGCTTCCAGTTCAGGGCAACTGACTTTTTGTACAAGGGCAACTTATACTGGAGTTATTATTAACTTATTTTGTGTTGCCAAGACCCTGTTTACAGTATGGCAAAGACCATGTCTTCCTCAAAATAATAACATGTAATACAAAGTAAAATGTAATATACAGCTATAAAAACTGATTATATTGAAAAAGAATTATCAATCTACTTAAAAATTTGAGATGTCAACTGTGTGCTTCTTAGTGATGAACTTAATGGCAAGACCTACTGGCAGGTTGAATGCTCTCATAAACTTGAAGCAGTGATGAGCATAAACAATACCCTAACATGACCGAGTATGAAATTATCTGATTTCACTGTGGGAAGTCATAGACATTGTTTAGGTTACTTTTCTCATTACTGAAACAAAATACTAGACACTCAAAGTTAAAGGAGGAAAGGTTTGTTTGGCTCACAGTCTGTAGAGGTTTCATTTCATAGTGGACTGGCTCCCAGGCAGGGTAGTGTGGCGGCAAAGGGGGATTGCAGAAGAGACACAGTTCATGGCAGGCAGAAGGCAGCAAGCAGCAAGCTATAAGTAATGAGGAGTGACCCTGTTTCTGTCCCTTATATCTTATCCAGACTACACAACCTTAGGGCAGGTAGCACTCACACCCAGGGTGGGGCAGCCTTAGTCCTAGCATCACACCATGAAGCAATCCCAGCATCACATGCTTGATCCCAGCAGCACACCTATGACCACATGAGGCTTTGGGGTGATATCTAGACACAAGCCGTGACAGACATTGGGGAAACTGGTGGAGTTTGTTGCCTATATGTGTTATTAAGAGATGCTAAATTTTAATTAGACTTAAAATTAATTAAATTTTAACTTAAAGATGTAATATTTCTGATCCAAGCTAATGGACCCCATAGACTCTACTCATTGGGATCTGTTTGTGGACAGCAGGTTAAAAGTGACTGTCTTGTGTCATTTGTCATTCAGTTCTGTTTGAGGTCATTTTACAAGGATTCCCTCTGAGTCATTGTGTGGGCACCATGAAATGGTGAAAAGGAAAGACAGGAATGCTAAGTAGAGGGACATGAGGGACATGAAAAAGCACCACATCTTTGCAGCATATGCTGTGAGCAAGGCATTTTCCAGTAACACCTTCATACCCGTGGGGGCTGCATTCCAAGACCTGCAGGGATGCCTGAGACAGCAGACAGCACAAAACTCTCTATATACTATAACTTTTCCTATGTGATTAAAGTTTAACTTATAAATGAGCCCCCATAAGAGATTAGCAGCAATGATTAATACTAAATAATTATAACTATACTGTAGTAAAAATTATGTGAATATGTGCTTGCTCTCTCTCACAAAGTATCTCAGTTCCTCATTGCACTGTGTGCTATTTTGACACAGTGGTTGACAGCAGGTAACTGAAACCTTGTGCATGGGGGGAGACTGCTGTGTGTGCCGTATCTCATTTAAGCTCCACTGAGCCACATAAGGAAATAGAAGTTCAGAAACTTGCCTAAGATTGAATTGCTAGTAAGTTGTTGAACTAGGATTTGAACCACTCTCTGTCCATTTTCAACCTGCTAAATTAGACTTAGCACTGTGGGTGTGCACTTTCCACCCTTGGAGAACAATGTGTGAGTCTTTATGGAGGGATGGGAAATTACAAGAGCCTACACTGAAGGAGGAAAATTGTTCACTTTTGCTTATTTTGTAGCCAAAAGCTGGGTCTCTTGGATCGGGTTCGCCTTTCTAATCCTCGTGGTAGCAATACTAAAGGAAAGCTATTTACCCCTCTGAATGTAGATGCCATAGAAGAAAGTCCTTCTAAAGAACCAAAGCCTGTTGGCTTAAACAATAAAGAGCGTTTCCGCACCGCCTTCCGAATGAAAGCCTACGCTTTCTGGCAGAGCTCTGAAGGTAACGTCCAGACCCTTCCCCCTGCTCTGCTCTGTCTCCTCTGCTTGGCCCTCTCCTGAGCTCTCCATCTTCCTCTCTCCCTCTCTACTGAAGAGCTCTGGAGTCCACAGCACAGCCTCTCCCTCCCGTAGGCTCCCAAGTTAGCTGTTTTCCTGGGCAGGGACCGCCTCCATTCTTCATACAGGCCTCTCCAGGCACCCTTGGGACACATCGCCACTGTTTCCAGATGTGGTCCTGGGAGTCAAACTGAAGGATAGAGAGGAGCTAAGAGCAAGCTTGGAGATGGGTGCCTTCACGCCCACAGGGTGGGAGAGGTGTCAGGAAAGCGCTGAGGTTGAGGGACTGTGAGGCCATGGCTGCATGTGCCTCTGTCACTCTGAAAAAGAAGCGCAAGCAGGAAGCAAGTCTCTTGAGTGTCTGAGGCCACCCATGTCACTCAGTCCTCTCCAAGGTCTCTTGGGGGTGGAAGGCTCAGAACGTGAGCTCCCAAGGTCCCCAGGATAGAGACAGACAGAATAAGAGCCCCAGCTCAGATCTGCCTGACTGGCGCCGAGGCTCCCCATGTGCCTATGGCTCTTCAGAGGGCTCCTCGGGATGGTCGCACTCCCCTCACCTCCTTCCGACCCCTCACAACACCTGTCACACCTCTGACTGACTTCAGCACAGTAGATTAGAGGTCCCAAGGAAGGCTGTGTGATGTCACAGCGGGAGGCTGTGGCATGGCTCCAAAAGGTGGAAACAAAGACTCTGCGACTTAGAAACTATAGCTTAGCAGTTGATCCCCCAGGCTTTCGCTGTGCTGTGGCTGCTGCTGATGCACTTGTTGCCCCCCCAGATGCTGGAACTGGCGATCCCATGGTTGAAGACAGGGGCTATGGGAACGACTTCCTCATAGAAGACATGATCCCCACCCTGAAGGCTGCCATCCGGGCTGTCAGGTAAGGACTCTCTTTCCTACCTGTGAGCCTCTGGGGCCATGGCTTAACTCTCAAAGCACAAGGCTTATAAGGTATTCTTAGACTCTGTGGGGTCAGGAAGCTCCTCCAGTAATCTTGAGGCAGGCTCCCTGGGTACTAAGTACTCTATGAGCGATGCTGCTTCAGAACAGTATTTCCTACTTCAGCAAGCCATTACCTGGTTATAAAAATGCGCCCACAGCCTCCCTGCTTGTGTTCAACTGACTTTTGCCACCATTTGCTTTAAAGGATGTCAGAACAGAAGATGTATTGATGTGGAATTGTCTTCCTTTGTGGGCATGTTACTCAAAATAGCTTATCTTCTGCCTCTCTCCATCGATATAATTCCTTTAAATTAGCATTTTGGCAAGATAATAAATCATCAATTTTTTTGTCTGTATTGGAGGAGACCATAAGCCACCCTGGTTATTTCTGGTTTGCCTTAGAATTCTTCAAGAGAATCAAAAAGTAGGTTACTACTTAAATTTGATTGGGATATGGGCATGTGCTTACTTCATAAGGGTGGCAGGGGATTCTAGAAACTAAGTCCATTCTCCAAACCCCAGTCATGATATTTTCAGCAAGAGTCCCAGCCCCGGAGATCAGGGAAGCACAACCTTTGACCCATTTCCTCGCCACACCATCATGTGTGATGTGACAGAACAGCTGGATGAAAACACACCTACCTGGATCCATACCTGGCTGGAGGGTCTCAACCTGAGAGAAACAGCTAGTGAATCTATGTTGACTGAGAAGGAGGCACTATTGAGATGCTCCATGCTCTGGTCTCTGTCTTCTCCTCATTTGCCATTTCATTGCTGCCTCAATTCAAGGATTGACAAACTTTTTCTTTAAAATGCCAGATAGCAAATATTTTAGGCTTTGTGGTCCATGGGTCTCTGTTGCAAGTACTCAGCTCACCATTGCAATGTGAAACAGCCACAGAGAGTGCATGAAAGAATGAGCATGGCTGAGTTCCAATAGATCTTTAATTTCAAAAATAGGCAAGGGAAAGATTTGGCCTATGAGCTTTAGTTTATGACTCCTACCTTAGGTGAAAATAGGCAAAGAGCAGGCTTATAAAATGACATAAAGTCAGGAAGAATAGTAAGTAAATCCGATGCTGTAATCAATATCCTAAAATAGTGTTTAGAAACTGGAGCCATGGATTAGGTCAAGGAAAATGAACTTTAAATGCACCATTTAAAAGAATCCTGCAAGTATGAACTAGGAGGGCCTGGGGTGGGAGAGGCCCTCCAGACATGATTATTAGTTTTAGCCGATCTGATACTCAGCAAGAGTTGTCCTCAACATAGAGAACTCAAGGAACATCAGCCATTGGGGTGACCCAACTTTAGTTCCTGAAAGATGGAGGTGAGCATTTAATTTCATCTGTTGGTTCTGGGTTTCCCATTTCACAAGGAACCAAGAAAACTCAGAAAGTAGAAACTAACTGTTATAGGAGTTCAAAGCTAAGTACCAAAGAGGCTATCGAGGAGGAGATGTATCATCATCTGTCCTCAAATAGAGAGCAGCAGGACAGTGACTAAGAGCTTGAGACTTATCAGCACAGGGTCTGGCATTGTGAGCTGGCTGGGGTTGGCCAGATGAGAACATTCTCTGAGGCTGAGCCCATCCTTCGTAGAGTGATATATTAGCAGATAGCACATAAGACCCTGTGCTCACTGTCTGAGATGGGAGGAATGCTCAATAAATGCCAACTTTCATTAATACTTGCAACAGAAACCTACGACAATTTTGTCATTATCCAAGTGATTGAAGGAGCAGGAAATCCTGGAGGAGAGGCACTAGGCAGACGAAGTGTGTATGGCTCAGATGGGTCAGGCCACCGCCCTAAACCAGAAGTTATCCTCACTGAGTTTTTTCTCTTTGTTTTCTCCACTGCCCCCGAGTTTGTTAGCCTTGTGTTACAGTTCCTCCATTCTCTACTCAGGATGCACAAACACCTCTGCTTTGCCTTACAGAATTCTACAGTTCCGTCTCTATAAAAAAAAATTCAAGGAAACTTTGAGGCCTTATGATGTGAAGGATGTGATAGAGCAGTATTCTGCAGGACATCTCGACATGCTCTCCAGGATAAAGTACCTTCAGACGAGGTAAGGCCGCCACCTGACCTCAAGTCACCTGGAGGGATGGTGCTGTCCGGCCACTCAGAAATTAAAGCCATGTGAGCCTCAGAGTTTAGGTGAAAGGTGTTCAGAATAATCCAAAGCACAAGGGAGAAGCTTTATGCACAAAAACGCTCATCAAGTCCTCTGGGGTCACGGCCAGCAAGCACCAGATCATACCGGATGTGAAGACACTGACATTGCCAAGGCCAAGGGCAGCATCCTGATCATGCCTGACAGCTTGGAAAAGGTGCAGTGATGCTTTGGATATACCCAACAAATCTGGGATCAACTAAACTGAGGCCAGCTGGCTAGTTATAAATGTGACTTGTTTGCCCTTATTACAAAATACTCCAGTGTTACATGTAACAGTGAAGATATGAGATAGCATCAATGTGCAATTATTAATTATCACTTGGAGTCTTTGCCTACACATGTTTTGTCCCTTAGAACCCTCCTTATGGTGTGCTTCACATATAACAGTTGCTATGGTTCTGATGAGGAAACTGAAGCTAAAAAGGCAAAAGGTCAGCCCCAAGTTACCCAGCTCATAAGGTCAAATAAATATATAGACAGACAGACAGACAGATGGATATCCTGTAATGTATCAATATATGTGTGGGAAGGGAGTGTACATTACCTGTAATATCATTATAGGATCTACTGAATAGGCTTTAGTTAGATCTTGTGATATTACTATTACACTATATAATATACATACCTATAATATATATGCTACAATTACAAGAGTGTACCCTCATGTTTACTCAGACATATACATGACATGCACACATTGTCCTGTATAGGGGACCTAGACCTGGAGAAAATTGACACAGTTAGATTTGACTTGAGTCCTTCCTGGGTTTTAGCCTCCTCAACTAAATCAAGTTTCCCTGCTGGAGGGAGGGTCCTGCTGGGTGAACAGGGGTGTCATGCTGAAGGAGTTGGAAGTTAATAATGCTACCAGGATAGTGATATGCTTACTAGTGAGCTAGCTAACTGGGGTACCAACTTTACCTCTCACAGTGGCAGGCACAGAGTTGGTGCTCACTGCCTTGTGAACAAATGGATGTGTGAATGAAGGTTCAGCCCAGCATACTGTTATTTCTGCAAATATGGATCACTGAGAGGTAGAGGAAGGGGGCGTGAGGTCTGAGACACACCAGACTCCAAAAGTATCAGCCAATTTCATGAGCATAGAACGGATTGTTACGCTGCCATTGTTTTTCATATTTATCAGGAAAATGTGCTTCTAAGAGTTGTGGGCAGAGGCTGACTGCCTGGCTGACCCAGTTGCATATCCCCGGCTTCGCTAGATATTGCAGTTATGTTCCAGACTTAGAAGGAGGCCAATTCAGCATGATGGGTTCCATGTCAGCAGCCACACCAGGCTGGGTTTGCAGAGGACGGACAGTGACCACAACCACTTCTGGTTGCACACTCTTGGTGGTCCCACTGCCTCTCCCACCCTCACCGCAGCCCTGCAGCACGATGGGGAACATTTCTCTCTGTTGGTCCCAGCAAGCAGGGGAAGCTGAGGTCTACACAGAAATGGAAGCAGAATACTGGGGCTAGGGTTGGACCATCCTCATGGCCAGAGATGCCTGTGAAGCAGCAGGGACCTGCACAGCTGAAAACGGAGCGGAGAATTTGGTGCTAAAACTCTCTAATTATAGGATTTGGACAGGGATAAAAGAAATAGAAGAGGAGATAGGCTCACAGCACACATATGACATTTCCTGTAAGAAGAAACAAGGTGTAGTCGTCATGCCATCTCAGCGGTTTGTCTTCCCTCCTCTCCCTGGGGGTGAGAAAATACCCTCAATACCACAAGACAAAAAGGATAATCCTATACTAAATTGTAAGTTGTCTCTCTCTCTGTCTCTCTCTGTCACTCTCTCTCTCTCTCTGTCTCTCTCTGTGTCTCTCT